CTATTCTATTCTATTCTATTCTATTCTATTCTATTCTATTCTATTCTTATTCTATTCTAATTCTATTTCCAATTCCAATTCTAATTCTATTTTCAATTAGATTCTATTCTATTTTCTATTCTATTCTACTCTTATTGTACCCTATGACTAACATAAGTGTTGTACCTGATGATTCTTGACTCTTGACGAATGTATCTTTTCCTTTGATGTACACTGAGAGCATTTGCACCAAAGACAAATTCCTTGTGTGTCCAAGCACACTTGGCCAATAAAGAATTCTATTCTATTCTATTCTATTCTATTCTATTCTATTCTATTCTATTCTATTCTATTCTATTCTATTCTATTCTATTCTATTCTATTCCATTCCATTCCATTCCATTCCATTCCATTCTATTCCATTCTAAATAAGAGTGAGAACTCTTTTCTCCTGAAGTCTGTATCAATTGGAAGAGTTTCATCAGTTCAAGAGTTATAGATGCATCTGCCTGAGCTCAAAATAGGAGGAGACTGAGCGAAACTGAAGAGGGATGAAAAAGGATCAAGATATATGTGGTGTTAGGTCAAAGTTTTTCATATGTCCATTGTGGGGGTTCTTGCTGCTCTCTGAGCTTGGCAGATTTCTGCCAGACATTTCATTACCCAACTAGGTAATATCATCAGTGCTATGACATTACCTAGGTGGGTATTCAAATATTCAAGAAAATATTTCAGAGAGCATCAAGGACCGTACAGCTCAACCCAACAAATATTCTCTTCTGTGATGATATATCAATTGTGCATCACCGTCTTCCCACAATTGGTTTAACGATCAACATGCAGTAGCACAATAGGCATTTATTTTTTCCTACGTGGAGTGGCAGATGCTACACAGAGCTCAGTCTCATTGTTCTCATTTGTAAAATAAGGCTTCTCCTTTTGAGCTTCCACATTTGTTTAAGCTTTAAAGGGAAGTTATAGTAAACTTGCTACCAACGGACAAGATTCTGCTTGCTTCCGGTCTGCCTTCCACCCCATCTCAGGTCCATTTTAGCTCCCATGACACAGTACCGTTTGATTCTTCTGGTTAATATCCGTCCATTTCTTAGCAGGTGGAAGTCCAAAGAACTCTCTGACTTTGTTATAGGTAGATAGTCCGATATCTCTTCCTCGCTGGATCCAACTCGCCACGAAATCCATTCGGGAGAACTTCACTGTCCCATACCAGTAATCTTAAGAAGAACAAGACAGAACATCCGTAATGGAGCAAAACGAAAGGATGTTCACATAAGCAACAAAGGAATCATGACATATAAGGGCAGGGGTGAGATTTTACCTGGTCAGACCAGTTCAATAGAACTGGTTGCTATGATTTTACCCAGTTTGGAGAACAGGCAAAATGCACTACTGGCTGGCCCCACCCCTCCCCACCCACTCACTCCTTACCTGGCATGCGCACCATCAAACTTGACTGCTAAGTTGCTATTTTTCCTTCCCCTCCCCCAACCATTCAGCTGTTCTGCTGTGCCGGGAGATTTAGATTAGCTAGAAAGCAGGAAATCTTAGGATTTCTTGATTTTTAACTAATCTAAAAGCAGAACTGAACCTTCCTTAGGACTGAAGCTTCTGTTTTTCGGTGGAGACTCGGGTAGCAGATTGCAGATAGATAGATCTCTAAGTGAATCTGTGATTCTGTGAGCAACTCAATCTGCCTGCCTGCTTTGCCTGTTTTTGGGGTAAAAGTTGCTCTTTTCTTAAATAAAAAAGCAAATATTTATTTACAATATTTACATACAAGCCACACCCAGCCAGTCACGTGACCACCAAGCCACACCCAGTCAGCAAGCCATGCCCACCCAGTCACATGACCACTAAGCCATGCCCACAAATTAGCCCATGACCACAGAACCGGTTGTTAAGAAATTTGAATCCCACCCTTGCTTAAGAGCAACAATTAACTGAAAACCCCCCCCCCCAAAGCAGGAAGCAAAGAAAGATCACCCCCCAAAATTAAGGCTACAGTACCTTTCCCCACCCTTAGCTTTGCCAAAGGAATGAAACCTGCAATTCTGGGGAGAGCCATCAAAAGAGAGAGCCAATAAATGGATGAAAAGATCTACCTCGGAGATCTTCGACCACAACGTTGTCTTCCTTCTCGGCGATTTGAGAACTCATTCCCAGAAGAAGATCATCTACGTCTTCAGCTGTCTGGAGGTTAGGATTCTGACCAAGACAGAAAACTTTTAGCATGAGCTACAAGGTGATTGCAAAGTTTACCTGCTCAGTTCAAAGAGGCACTAAATCCAATCCAGTCCCTAGTTTTGTAAAATCACCAGCTTACTTATAGATACAAGGTGTCTTGCAATGAAGGAGGACATTTAATAACCTATTCTAATACTTTCTACATTGATGAAGGCTGTCCGAGACTTTGGGCAGATGATCTACTCAGATCTACCTGGAGATGCCGAAGATTGAAACATGGGATTGTGGCATGCAACCCAAGTGCTCTACCTGACTACACTTATATATTATATATATAAGAATAATAATAGTTCTATATATATATAGATTCTATAAAATAATAATAATAATAATAATAATAATAATAATAATAATAATAATAATTCTATATATATATAGAATTATATATTTTTTCACACAACATGACTATTTCACAGGGGTGAGCTTCAAATTTTTTAGCAAGGGCTCTCTGCCCTAATGACTGGCTGGGTGGGCATGGCTAGGTGGTCATGTGATCGGGTGGTCATGTGATCGGGGCTAGGTGGTCATGTGACTGGGTGGGTGTGGCCAACTCAACATTGCTTCTTTGCCCTAATTACCTAAAAAAGGATATATACCAAAAACTTGTTTATTAATTCGTGCATTTAATATATAAATAAAAGACTGGGTGAAACCAGGCTTAATAGCAGTGACTGTGAGAGGGATCTTGGAGTCTTAGTGGAGCTTCTGGTGAGTTGCGTGATTCTTATTATTTGGGAATTAATCCCCTTGGCGGCTAGTGGCTATGTTATCGGATTTTCTCAATGGCTGTCCCTAGCAAGCGCTGAATGGGTTGTTTATCTAGCTTGCAACACTTTTACGAGGTGTGAAATGCTCTTGGCTGAATGCCCAGAAGTTCAGTTAAGCCTATTGAGAGCTTTCCCTTGCTGCTTGTCTTTCTGAGGTTATTGGGGGCTCTCCGAGCCCCGTAGAGTCCTAGCTAGGGGCTCTGTGAGCCTCCAGGAGCCCACACCTGCTATTTCACCATGAAGCCACACCCTCAAGACATTTTCTTGCAATCCCCATCTCCCCAGTGCCTTCAACTAGAAATATATGTTTAGTTGCTCTGACGCTCCCTACCTGCCGACTCCAGTAGTTGTTGCATAGGCGGAGGGCTGGAGAGGAATGTCCATCTACATCAGTCACGTTTCGGAAAGAACAATTTGAATTCCTAAAAAGAATATATTTAAAAAATAAATGAGATTAGGGTTCTCTGCGGTGGACCAGTAGAATGCATGGAACCCCTGTTGGCAAATGAAAGCAAAACAGGAAGAGACAACTGGGCAGATGTTGCTCCATTTGTAAAGGCAGCCTATTGACATGCCACCCCACACTTGGATTTTCCAAGATGCAGCTGGGATATTTATTGATCCGGTTGAGTTCTTAGCTTACATTGGTTCACCAAGTTTGGCTGAATAATCCATAGTTTGCTGGTTTGACACGTTGTGAATTCAAATGGTCGGATTCCCACAATACTTTAAGTGAGAACTAAACAAACCACGTTGGATACCTCATTGTGTGAACCCAGCCATATTATTTGCTGGAGAGAAAAAAATAGCTGACTTGGAGCTTTCATGGTCTTGCCGTTCTCTGCCCTGCAACCAACAGATCTTCTATCTTGAGCTGCTATGCTAGACACAGTTTGTCTGGATTCCTTCCTTCCTTCCTTCCTCCCCTCCTTCCCTCCCTCCTTCCTTTCTTCCTTCCCTCCTTCCCTCCCTTTCTCTTCAATACTGCAATTCTAGGCATATTTAATACTGGCTTCGTTATTTTTTTTAAACCCCTGCTTTTTTTTTTTTACCTCATATAGACCCCAGGTGGGACTTTAGTGCCAAGGAAGAGTGCAGAAGCCACAAGGAATTCTGGAGAGATCCGAGAATCGACATGCTGCTTGTAACCTACAACACAGAGAGTAATGCAACAGATGAGAAGAGGTATTTCACAGAAGGATTTTATTTATTTATTTATTTTTTATTTGTTGTGCATGTATTAGATAACAATTATAAGTATAAACATGATTATTAATACATGAAATGGATAAGAATAAAAGGAAACATTAGGACAGGGACGGTAGGCACGTTGGTGCGCTTATGCACGCCCCTTCAGACCTCTTAGGAATGGGGTCAGGTCAACAGTAGACAGTCTAAGGTTAAAGTTTTTGGGGTTTGGGGAAAAAACCACAGAGTCAGGTAGGGTGTTCCAGACATCGACCCCTCTGTTGCTGAAGTCGTATTTCCTGCAATCGAATTTGGTGCGGTTGACTTTGAGTTTGTATCTATTGTGTGCTTGGGTATTGTTGTGATCGAAGTTGAAGTAGTCATTGACGGACATCGCAATGGATAATGTTATGTACTATGCTTAAGTTGGATGGAAGCCAGTGTAGTTCTAAGTTATCTAAGCCTAAAATTTCAAGTCTGGTGGTACAAGTTATTCTGTTGCTAGAAAAGAAGTGGAGGACTCTTCTTGTGAAGTATCCCTGGACTCTCTTGATTGTATTGATGTCCAATATGCTATGTGGGTTTTTTTTACTGGATTTTACTGAAGCTGAGATGATGTAGAGAAGGGAGGGCCTTGAAATTCCCTGTGATCTTTTGAGTTTTAAATGGAAGAACTTAGAACGCAAATGCAATTTAGCATTCCTCTCTAAAGGGAATGCCAGTACAGATAGGCTGGAAAATGATAATGGATTCCAGCCTTCTCTACATAAAATTATAAAATCGAGAGAAATGTGGCTAAGGCAGATCTTTAGACCCACAAGAACTCCCCTTATCTTCCTTCTCCAGTAGGCAGCCACTGAAAATCTTTTGTCCTTTTCCATTTGACGTCTATTCTGTTCTGTTGATGTCGCTCACCTTCATAACGTTTCATGCTTGTCTTCTCCAAAATGTTTGGCAGCCACTCATAAAACACAATATTCTAGGAGAACAATGAGAAGATAATGAAACAGTGTCAAAGGAAATGAATATGATTCCCTGTTTTTTCTGTCTCTTCCAGACTTCCACCTACCTGGTAAATTGCAATTACTCTCTTGCGTGCATGTTGGAATAAATCCTCATCTGACCAGCTTGTGTTCTGCTTGGCCAGTTCTTCTGCCCAGTAGTTGTGATAGCGGAACCACACGATACTCATGGCTTGCAGGAAAACATTTTCATTTCCTTTGGCATTTCCAAAGTCTGGGAGGAAGGAAGGAAGGAAGGAAGGAAGGAAGGAAGGAAGGAGAAGAGAAGAGAAGGAGAGGAAAAGGAGAAGGAGAAGGAGAGGAGAAGGAGGAGAAGGAGAAGGAGAAGGGATCATTAAAAAGAACCCAAGAGAGCTGTAAAAATCGTAATGGCTAGATATCAGAGAAGACATGATAAGAATGATGAACATTCTGCATAGATGCAAATGGGAAAAACAATCACTATGTTTTGTGCTGACCTCCAAATTTCTTCCCTTCATGAAAGGATAAGACAGTAAAGTTAATGGAAGAATGTGCTCATCCTCTATTAAGAAAGCTCTAGCACAAAATAGTTGAGTTGTTAGTGACCTCCAAAAGTTCTAGAATCCTCAAATGTACACACTACTGCTGCTGCTGCTACTACCTATTATTATTATTATTATTATTATTATTATTATTATTATTATTATTATTATTAAATCTTTAGTGAGATTCACAGCCTTTGGGGCTGGTTGATAGCTCAACAGCTTGAGTCCTAACCAAGGACCTAGAAACTGTTCAGGTAGCATTGGGAGAACGCACAATTTCTTTTTTCCAAAGTCGCTCAACTTCAATTTGTAAGTCCCGATACTTTGTGATTTTTTGTTTCTTGCTGCGTGTCCTCAATTCGCGCATCACCAGGTATTGCAATGTCAATGAACCAAACCTTTTCCTTCCCAACTACTGTTATGTCAGGTATGTTGTGGGCCAAGTGCCTGTCAGTCTGAATTCTGAAGTCCTACAATTTCTTGACTTTTTCATTCTCCAGAACCTTCTCAACCTGATGTTCCCAGATGATAATAATTATGATAATTATTATTATTATTATTACAGAGAACTGAATGAAGGCCTGAAAAGAAATGCTCTCAGGTACCATTCATCTCTCTTCTTCTTTTAGCCTCTTGAAAAGCAGCTGATGACCCCAGACCTGCTTACCAAAGATGCCTTGGGTTCCACCCTTCCCTGTAGCTGGATCGAGAGCCTTCCACATTAAGCTGTTCTCTTCCGCCTCCTTTGGAAAGCCACGTTTCTTTCCAGAAAGTAGCTTTCCTTGGGAGAAACTCCTTAGAGAATCACTCCAGGCATGCGAGGAGCCATAGATAGCACTTCCATCTAACCAGCCAGTCACCCCATTTACCTGTTGGAGAACAGAAAGGAAGATGGGATGGAAAGAGTTAACTCCTGTTCAGTCTCTGACTGCTTGGATTGGATGAATTGATAAGACGTCTGAAGGTAGCAACTTCACACTGGGTAGTCCAAGCTCAGTAAATTTGGACCTCATGTCTATGCAGATCCTCAATCCTCCAGGTCATGGTTATCCCAAAAATGCTTTTCCAAAAGGCAACTGTGCTTTTTTGTTGTTGTTTTTCCCTTGAAAACCTTTGGCTTCTCATCCAAGAAGCTTCTTCGGTTCTACCTGGTTAGAACTGAAGAAGCTTCCTGAATGAGAAGCCAAAGGTTTTCAAAGAAAAAAAACACAAAACCCCAAGGAAGCTTTTTGGAAAAAACACCTTTGGTTAGGTCTAATATCATTAAAGTATGCATTTAATATTACAGGTCTTAATAGCAGTGAGCATTATTTTTGCACAATATTGAAAAAAAAATGAAGGCATACCACAAGATGAAGAGATAGTCAAGAAGATACTAGATTGAGCAGAAATGGATAGATTGACATTGAAAATTAAGCAGAAGGAGAATGTAGAATATTATCAAACATGGAATTTATTTTACTAATGGTTGGAAAAAAAGGAAGTGGAGACTTAGAATATGATTTGTATTGTTAAGCAAATGAAATATGCAAAGAACATGATGTTTATTAAGCACTAAGAAATATATTTAATAGAAAACCAATAAAATCAATTTAAAAAGGAAAAGCACCTTTGATGCTGAAATATCTATCTCTGGGCTTATACACACCTACTCCATTCTTTAACAGGGACTAGAATTTCCATTGCTAAGTAAGTAAGATGTTCAGTGAATTGGGGCCGATTTTAGGATGCATTTTTTTCCATCGTTGTTAAGCAATTCACTGCAATTGTTAAAGGAATCGTGTCATCATGAAGCTAATCCTGGCTCCCTGTTGGCTTTGCTTGTCAGAAACCAGTTGGGAAAGTTGCAAACGGTAATCATGCAACTGTCATGAATACATGTCAGTCTCCAAGTGCCCAAATTTGACTGAGTGATGGTGAGGATGGTGCAATGGTTGTTAGTGCATGGACCAGTGATAAATCCCTCCCCCCCCCAGTGTCATTGTAACTTCAGCCAATCACTAAACAAATGGTAATAAGCTGAGGATCACCTCGCACGTCTCCTTACAATGGCTCCTGTTAGATGACAACATACTTAAAAGTTCTGAGAGTTGAAATCCACACATCTTAAAGCTGCCAAAGTTGAGAAATGCAGATCTGGAAAATAGCAGACTGCAAAAATTTCTATAGTGACTGTTCAACTCTTTTCAGGCCCTTAACTTCATCTGGCTTTTCTATTTCTATTAATTGTAGGTGTAGTCCTTGAGTCATAGTTTTAAATATATATATA